GTTTGTTGCGCTGGAGCCCGAATCCGCCCATTGGGATTTGAGGGCAGCGTTGTCTGGCATGAGCTCTTTCATTTCAATGAATTTGCCTCCTTTTATTTTATCTGCTATCTTCCCCAAGATAGGAGAGAATGATCATGGCTTTAGGGGAAGTGGAAGCTGCAGTCCCCACTGAGTTGGAGGAGCTGTCCAGTTATTCTCTGTATTGCTTCAATTCCTATTCTAACTTTTGTCTCATTACTAATTCCAGTTTCCCTTTCCTTGCAGTACTGGCCACCATTGACCTGTGGGCCTCTTGTAAGGATTCTAACTCCTGCTCAAACTGAGGGGGGGAGAGGGAGAGGAGGAGGGCAAGTTCAAGAGAGTGAAAGAGAAAGAGTGAGCAAGAAAATGGTAAATGAAACACATATTTTCAATCAACACTCTAAATAGTGAGACATGGAGATGAAGGATTACATGTACATGTACATATGTATATTTACTTTTGATTCAATGTTTATCAGCAAACTTTTTACGTAGCATAAGGATATAATAAAATTTGGGTTGATTTTGAAGCCATTTTTCTGAAAAAAAAAAACATGGGCTATAGCCTTGGGTATTTTTTGAAATTGTGGCAATTTCTTAAAATTTCTTAAATGTAATCGAAACACAAAAAAATTTTTGACAGTTATAAAGTTTCACATTTTATTCTAAATCATCAACTCATCAAAAAATAAAACCTTTGTCAAAAATAAAATAAACATTTAGGATGATTTTATCTACACTCCTAACCTTAGGAATCTTTCATAAAGGTGTCCAGAAGCTACTGAGAATATATTAATAGTATCAGTGGTAGGGACTGTATCATTAGACCCAGTAATGATTGGAGTATCATCAGGTACAAAGAACCTGTACCACAATATTAATAAAATAAAAATACACACACAACTAACTTTGAGATTGATTCGATTATCAGAAAATGTAATAAAAATTTGGGTTGATTTCAAAGCATTACATTACATTAATGAACATGTGTTACATTTTACATTTAACATGTGTTACTGCTAACATTTCATCATAAGGAGAGTCTAAAATAACCTGACATACTGACTCAGCATCTCCCTATCATTCAATTAATTAATAATACATTAATAAACATGTATTACAATACTTACATTAAATACATGAGAGTCTTTTAAAGCTACACTCCTACGAGAGAGAAAATGAAAGAAAGGATAGGAGGAGAGAGATGAGAATAATAAAGTATAAATATACTACTAACTGATAATAATCCACCATCACATTCTGTCAACATGTTAAACAGTTAAATGAATAAATAAATAAATAAATAAATAATAGGATCATTATGCTAAATGCTCAATGGCACTGGTCACAAATTCATAATTATGCACTAATTCACAATTTTACTAGAATTCATGTACT